ACCGCCCGACTAGCGCCTAGCGAGTTTTAGAACAATGACATATACATATACATATACATATACACATACATATACATATACATATACATATACATATACATATACATATACATATACATATACATATACATATACATATACATATACATATACATATACATATACATATACATATACATATACATATACATATACATATACATATACATATAGCATTGAAGATGCTCTTAGTAATAATTTTTTCGGCTTATCAAGTTTATGAACCAACTTTTTAATCAAACACGGAACTTTTGCTTTCACACACTGAACAAATAAATAACACACACACACACACTTTGTTTTTATCTCCACTCTTCATCTTTAAGATACAAATAAATAATTTAGACATGAAAAATACATATTGATATAACATATATCATTTTAACTTTTACACATTTCATACATTCATTATGACAAAGTTAGATAATACGATATATTTGTATTTGTTATGTTTTTACTCTACCTGTATGAAAAGATGTTTGACGATAACAATAACAAATTGCATTTATATTTTTTATATCATTTATTTGAATAAAATTGTGAATATTACAACATTTGTACCACCGACTTCTTTAGTTTTCTTTAAATATTTTATGTGATTTGTAAATGCTAGTCAACTACGGAGTATAATTTTTCTTTTTGTGAGAAGTGAATCTTTTTTGAAGCGATCAAAATAATGTTAGAAGTTTTAATTTATAATATTTTATTATTTCATTTTAATCTTTTATTTCCTTACATTTTATTTAAATAATAAATTTAGTAAAAAAAATGAGACTACTTTCATTTTCTAATTCTAAAATATAGAACTTGAAGAAATAAAGTAATGAACATAAGAAACCGAATCAAATTAAACTATATTGAACCTAATATTTTTCACTTTGGCAAACCGAACTTCAAACCAAATCAAACCGAAACCAAAACGAAACATTAATGATTTTAGTTTGGTACAAATTCTCTCAAGCTGAATAAACCGAAACCGAAGAAAATCGAACTGTAAACCGAATTGTCCACCCCTGCTAGAACAATTTCAAATGGTAAGCCACATTTAGATTTGACACAATTGCTTTTAATTAAATAAATTTAAAATTGAAAGACACATTTAAGGCCTTTTGGCAACTTTTTTTGTCCTATGTATACTATATTCTCTAAATACGAGTAAACTACTTTATTCCTGAAATTATAGTGTCACATTTTGAGCAGAATTTTGGCAGAATGTGCGCAGTATGTATATTATATGTGCGCAGAATGTGAAGTATGTTTCAAGAATTTATTTGAATGCTCTCCCGATCGAATTTTGAGCTGAAATTTGGTATGGATAAACTAGACTTGATGAAGAACATGTTCAAAAAATTTCATCAAAAAATTCCACCGGGAACCACCCCAAACAGTAAAGTTCGGACGACACCTCCCGTCCCTCCGGATGGACCTGAGCATTTGTCCTCCATTTTGACAATACCAACATGATAATTACAATTCCTATTCGAAAAAAAATACTCCATAAATACTTATATATTTTTTTGGGAAAATGGAAACTAATAATCCAACCTTTTAGCGGTCTTCTTTCAATAATCCCACCTTTTGATTATTCATGAATAATCCAACCTTTGCACCTCATCTTCATTCATTGGTCCCTCATCGGTTAATGACCTACTATTCCAAGTTATTTTCTTATCTTTGCAAAATATTGTCTTTGTGAAAGATGAGATTTATGGTATAATGATTTGCAAAGATAAGAAAATAGTTTGGAATATCAGGCCATCAACCGGTCAGGGACCAGTGAATGAAGATGAGGTGCAAATGTTGGATTATTCATGAATAACCAAAAGGTTGGATTATTGTAAGAAGACCGCTAAAAGATTGGATTATTAGTTTCTATTTTCCCTATTTTTTTTAAAATTTCTCATTATTTATACTTTTATCTACTCTAAATTTCTTATAATTATTGATTAAAAATTTAAAACTAATTGAATACAAGTGGTATTACAATGTCATATTATCGTATATTTTTGAGAAAACTGTCAAATTGGCCCTCGAACTATACCAAAAAATCAATTGAGCCCTTCAACTAAACAAACACTCAATTAAGTCCATGAATTATACAAAAATGATCAATTTTGTAACCCCGTAGGTTGCTTTCCGGTTAACCGGTCATTTTGATTAGGTGGCAATCTAGGGGGACTTCTCCTCCTCCTCCTCCTCCTCCTCCTCCCTCTTCCTCCTCTTCCTCCTCCCCCGTTTTCTTCCTCCCAACCCCTCCCCCGTTTTCTTCTTCTTTAGCCCACTCTGCCCCGCTTCTTTCTTCTTCTTTAACACACTTCGCTCCTCCCCGTTTTCTCCTTTTTCAGCCCCGCCTGTCCCACCCCGCCCGGCCGCCCCAGTCCTTTTTGCTTCTTAAGCTCCACCCCTTTCCAGTCTCCTCTGTTTTATTCTTCTGCCAACAATTTCATTTACCAAAGTCGGGCATGTATGATATATAGAAAAGTGATACAGAGTATTATGTTTATATTACGGACTTACGGAGTAATAATTAAAATTAATGTATTCCAGCATAATTGAACTTTTAGACCCTGTTTGGTTCGAGGGTTTCAGAGGGGAGGGAAGTGAGTGATTTGTGTGTGTTGGGTTGAAGGAAATAGGGGGAAGGGGAGGAAAGTCGAAACCTTCCAAAATCCCCCGTTTCCTCCCATTCTCAACCCCCCAAATCGGGGAACTTCGGAGGAGACGTTTTGGTAATGACAAGTGGTCCATCATTTTTCTTCTACGTGAATGGACAAAAAGCAATAAAACAAAAAATGAAAAAAATAATTACAAAAAATTAAAACTTAAAAGATTTAAAAAATGAAAATTAAAAAATTAAAATATTAAATAATTAAAAAATTAAAAAATATAAAAGTTAAAAAAAATAAAACATTAAAAATTTAAGAAATTAAAAAAATTAGAAAATTTCTAAACTTAAAAATTGAAAAATTAAAAATTTAAAAAAATAACAATTAAAAAATAGTTATATTATGACTCATGACCTTAGGAGTGATATTCATAATGATTAGATGTATTTACTTTTTAAAGAAGCTATCAAGTAAAAGTAAATTGGAAAAATAATTTCTTTAACCTTCCCTCCTATTTCCTCCAACCAAACACAATTTTTTTATATCAAAATCCTTCCTTCCTCTTCCCATCCCTTCCCTCCTTGACCCTCCCCTTCCGGCAGGGCTGGCCCTGAGGGGGTATAACCGGTGCGGTTGAACAGGGTCTCACCTGAAAGAAGGGCCCCAATTTTCAATAGATGTGTAAGGCCTATTACCCAAAAATTAATACAAGTATTTACATGGCTTTTTGAGATTCTACGCGGAAGATCGAGACCCTTGATAGTCCACAAAGCGACTCTTTGAAAGAAGGAACAACTAATCAACTACTAGATCTCTTTCTCTCAATCACCCCTCTTTGAACCACTTCTCTCCTGCGCAATGATGAAGCTGCCATGGAATCACGGGCTAGAGGGAGAGACTTAAGTTTTTTGCATCTACGGTTACTCGTGGTTTTTAGGAACTCTGTTTGTAGTTCTTTTTTGTCTTCCCTGTGTTTCTAATCGGCATACATATTGGAGGGATTTGGAGAAATAACCCAAACTACAAAAGAAAACAAATAACGATCTCAATTGTAATAGAAATGGTTGAAAAAAAATTACTTTATCAATGGAATCAAGCTCCTGTAAAACAAATTGGAGAGTTTGGGCAAATGCTCTGAATCCCTGTGATCTAGAAGATGTTTTTACTTCACTAGTTTTTAATTACTGAGTAACAAAGCAAGTGCATTTTAATTCTTAAGTGTTTGTAATTTCAATTCTTACCTGGGAGGTTAGGATTGTGAAATTGATTATTTAAATGTACTTGTGCATCGAGATGGAGATTACTTTTCTTATTACTCCGTATGATATTTTCTTTATTAAGAAAATGAGGCCTCCTAATTAATTTTGCACAGGGCATCTAATGAGTCAGGACCGGCCCCTGCCCTTCCCTCTCCTCCTTTGAATCAAACAAGGTCTTAGAAAGCAAATTGCATAACTTTGTAAAAGAAGAACCAAACAAGTTACGTCTGAGCAAACGTGGATTTAGCGGGAGAGTAGCAATTTGGGATGGGTACTTGTGTAGTGTAGAGCTGCGCATTAAGACGGGCTGGAGGGGAAAGAAGTGTAGAGCTGCGCATTAAGACGGGCTGGAGGGGAAAGAAGATGGGGAAGGAAAAAAAAAGTAAAAACATGTTGACTAAGGAGGTACGGTCCGGGAGAAAGATGAAGGTGGGTTGGCTGCAGAACAAAGAAGGGGAGAGAAGAAACGGGAAAAAAAAATAAAAAAGAAAAGAAAAAAGCATGCTAACTGGATGACGGGAAGGCCGCTTAGGGTTTGTTTGCAACAGCTTCTGCTTTTAAAAAAATGCTTTTTTAATGAAATGGGGAGAAGTGATTAAATAAAAGTTGATATATAGTGTTTGAGAAAAAAGTGATTTTGAAAAGTAAAAGTGAGTAGTGTTGGTAAAATAAGTGCTTTTTATGTAATAGAAAAAGTAAAAGCACTTTTGACGCGAAAGCCGAGAAAAATAAAAGTTGTAGTGTTTGGGAAAATAAGTTCTTTTTTAATGTCAAAAACTGAGAAGTGCTTTTTTAAAAGCAGTTTCAAACTAACCCTTACTAAATTAGACATTTGGGTGTTTTTATTTAAAGAGTTTAATTGGGTGTTCTTTTAGTTCGGGGGTTTAATTGACTTTTTCGATATACTTCGAGGGCCAATTTGAAAGTTTGGGTGATGAGGTTGCCCTCGCACAGTAACCATCCATCTTCTAGTGGTTGATGAGAATAAGCGTTGACAAGGCGCTAAAAACATGGACTCATTTTCCAATAAACAAGCCTGATCAACAATCCTTACCCTGGTGCCACCTATATATATGACTAAAGTCCTTCAATTCCCTCGTATGAATCTTTATCGCTTTTTTTCTTTTCAAAATAATAACGTTTTCACTCTATAATACAATTCCATTACGTATTTATGTAGTAGCAATAACCATTTTAATTTGGTTTAATTTCCTATATATCATATAGGAAGACGACTAGTAATTAACTAGACAATAATCAATAATGGAAAACCCTTCATACCAAACTTTTTTTCTCATTTCAACTTATTTGTTACTCTCAATTACATTCCTGGGAAACCATGCAATTGCACTGGGCCCCGCCATTGTCTACTCAGATGAAGATGCGATTTCTGTTCCAGAATCTTCTCCCCTTTCCTTCTCCTCTTCGGGCACCATCGCGGAGCCCCCTTCTCAAGGTACCACATCTGAGAGCCCTTCAGGAGATGGTTGGAACGACGCCCCAACCACTACCGACAAGGGCACATCACCTTTCTCCAGCGTCCCAGTAGTGAAAGACACCCCTGCGGTGAACATGTTCGTCCAATCAGCAATGGTGAAATCTATGTCGAAGACAGAGGACTTCATCCACGATGTCCTCGAGAAGCGGCTGAATGACCCCGACACGGATGAACAGAGGAAGGAGTGCCTAAAGACATGCAAGGATGTGTATCAGGATTCCATGAATGCCATGAAGAAAACAGTGAAGGATACGAAGGACGGAAACCTTTACAAGGCGAACGTTGACGTGAGCGCCATGTCTACCGACGTTGACACGTGTAAGGAGTGCATGGGCCGTGTTTATAGTAAGGATGATCCTGAGTTCAAGAAGTTTACCACGTGGATTGACGGCGTCACCAATGATTGCCTTGACAAAATCACCGGACTCGGCAATTGATTTTTTGGAAATGTATATTACTCGAGAAAACAAATTAAAAATAAACATATATACAAATTACGATAGAATAAGAAGAGATCATATATAATGTAGGATAACTAGGATTTGCTAATGTAGTAATTTGGGTGATGAAGAGGCAACCACCAGAAAAATTTAGGAATGGTCTACTTTTTTGAACAATTAAAGGACGATTAGTTTTAGTTTTTCTCATCCTGTATTTTTTTTTTTAACAATTATGCTCCCTGTCAGTTAATTAGTTTTTTTTTTGCCAATTATGCTTCTCATCTTTTATTTAGCTTTTCAATTTGTTTTTCACTATTAGCATACAATACATTTGATCACTTATATTTGCGTGTGAGTATTGAAAATTATTTTATATTTTGGGCTCATTATATATGATCTCAAAGATTCATATTTAGAGATTATACCCAATATTCTCATATATTATTATTTGCGATCAATTTTAAGTAAATACTTAAAATTCGTTTTACTAAATCACACACACTAAAATATGAATTGTATTCTTGGCATAAAAATATTAGAAGACATTGATTTTGCATTATGACTATTAGATTCAAAATCATCCTTTCATAATGAAGACATTGATTTTGCATTCTTGGCATAAATATTAATTGTAACAAGTTTGTCAAGTCATTGATGATGATGGTTTAATTTATACACGAGTCGAAAAAAGAAATCGGGATAAAGATCTTAAAACTTTTCTCCCTATCATAATTACTTCCTCAATTGCTAAAAGTTTTGCAACCACTTCGAATTTATTCGTTCTATAAATCATTTTATTTTGACTTTCCCTTGAATGAAATTAAAGGCCCATATATCTTCAACTTTAATTTAACGTTTTCTATCAATATGTTGCTTATTTACTGTTTTGGAAAAATAAAAAATGTAGTTGATATTTGAATATAATAAAGTAAAATGTTGTAGAGCACATGTTACTTTTCAAAAAGAAAAATGTCACACTTATTTTGTGACAACCTAAAAAGGAAAGTAGAACATATAAATGGGACGGAGGGAGTAAAAGTTTTGGATGCTAACGCTAATAATATTTCTGTCGCATATTTCATCCGTCATCATTAATTATTAATAGTGAAAGTTGAAAACAACTGCCTATACCATCGTGTGATCATCATTTAATTTGCACATAACAAGCATGTAAGAACAAACAACCGTTATGTCTTCTGACTCTTCTCTATAGTGCTATTGTAAGATACTCTAACTGCTAAGAATGGGACTTGTACCACTCTTGGATAACTGACAATCTTGTGATTTACATGATTTTGTACAATTCTTGTAGATATCCATGTGCGACTTTCACTTATCCAATGTTCAAAAATCAGTTAACTTTTCCACATCAAATGAGTAAATGCTATAATATGAATGTATACAAAAAGTGTTCCCCTAACTTTACTACTTGCTCTTGGAGCACAACTGAGTATGCGGATAGGAAGAAAGAGATGAACGAGGGAACTGAAAATCTGTTATTCACCAACCAACGTAACCATATATGAGTTCTGATAACAAAATACTTCGTATATGTAGAGCTTGTCCACTTATTACATGGGCTGTAAACAATAACAACAAGGCCCAATAACAAAGATGGAATTACTAATTACACAACATGCTCCCTTAATTCTGCATAACAACAAATCAGAAAACAAACAACACATAATTATGCTCACTGAAGCAATGTTACTGAAAATATGTTCAGTAGTTTTCTGAGCTCTATAAACCTTTGTGGAGCAAGTGACTTTGTGAGGATATCAGCTAACTCAACTTCTGTTTTGCAATACCACACCTTAATCTCCCCTTTGCTGACATTCTCTCTCAGAAAATGATACTTAGTATCTATGTGTTTGCTCTTCCCATGTGCAACTGGATTTTTAGCCAAGCTAATTGCTGACTTATTATCCATCATCAGATCAACTGGTTAAAAAATTAAATACTAATGTCCTTATATGTCTTTTTACATTCAAACATCTATTCTTAAACAGCTAATTTACCAAACATTTGCTGACAATAAGCTAATATAATCAGCCAACTAAAACACCTGACACAAACAACTATTGTCAATCAGCTGACGTAACCAGCTAACAACTAACATCTAACATTGCCAAAGCCGATTTATGTGGAGGACATGACATCCTCATCTCTAGTTGTAGTAGATATATTGAACAGGCACTGATTTCTGATTTATGCAAGTGGAGTGGATCTGAGAGCTGACCAAGTTGAGGCAAAAATATCAAGAACAATTGATGACCTCAGTGTTCCAAAAATTGCTCCGTGTGGCCTGCGCGGGTTAACCAGATCATAGAAAGCACTAGCCCAGTAGCCATGATCAATTTGAAATAAACTTAGGCAACCAAAGGGAAACTACCAGAAAGGCAGGAAACTACAGGCAGTGATTTTTAGAATAGAGGACTAGAGTTTGATTGACCAAGTTGATTCAGGAAACAGGTGTTGGGCCTTTGATTGTAGGCTGAAGGTATACATAAACTTTGGGCATCTAAAATCAGGATTAAGAAAATCTTGTTGCAATTTCAACTCTCCCCTATTGATAAGTAACATTGAAATGGCTGATATAATAAGCCATTAACAGAATTTAAAACGGTTCTAGATTCTGTTAATCTTTAAAACCATAGTATGAACTTATCATAATTTAAATTTATAGGTTGAGCGTATTGGAGTTGTAATTTAAATCTATTAATTAATAGGTTGAGTGTTTTGAGGTTGTAATTTAAATTGTGTATATGAGGGACATTCATACTTTCTAATGAAATGTCTTGAACGTTCTTTTTATCATGCAAAGGATCTTAGAGAATCCAAATTGATTGAGTAATGATAATTTATGTTGCAACTACTAGATACAGTGGTTATGAAAAATGAAAAGGGGTGAAGTTCGGAAATGGAGAGCAAAACGTACACCATAAATCCATAATGGCACGCAAGTAGTGGAGCAATTGAGACAAAATCAGAAGATTGTACTTGCAAAAGATGGTGGCTGGTAAGTGCAACCAAAATGTCTACATAAAGCAAATTAAAGGAAAATGCATAAACAAATGCTGGTAAACTGGAGAGCATAACTACGATCTCTTTTTTATAGCCAAAAAATCAGAAAGGTCAACTTCAATTACAACGTTTTACATTAGTCTAAACTTCATTATGGAACTGCATCTTTTGACGTTACACTTCCTTGCCTTTTATGAGGCCATACTGGTAGAGGTCATGAGCTCATTTGCCGCCATATTCTGGGACTTTTGACGGACAAACCTCTGTTATATCCATATGCATCTGTAACACCTTGGCAATCTTGAGCATCGAGCACACTACCAATACCCAATGAGTGTCACAGATATTGAGAGTATAAACATGGTGACATTCTTACCATGGTAGCATATAAATTATATAAAGATCCTCTTCACTTCCTAATTCTTCAACTAAATAGCCATCACAAACTGACTACTCAGGGACAGTAGTGCCAAATAATCTGGGATGTAAGTGCAGGAAGTAGAGACAGAGATAGAAAAAGATAACCTGGACGTACTATAATGTATATAAATAAAATAAGAAGGGATTAGTGAAACCGCTAGGATTTTAAAATTAGTTGATAGAGTTCTGTTAGGGAGTGGGAGGCAGATGGGCCGAGGCTCTAGGAGGCAAACGGGCCAATGCTTCAGGAGGACGGGCCTCGCCCATTATTAGTTTATGGGTTGCTGTCAGTGGACCTAATTGGGCTGGGTTGACTGCTGGGTTTCATTACTTTATTTCAGTCTATTGTTTTGTCTAATAAACTGTTGGGCCTATATGGTCATATTTTATTATTAGGTTAATGGGCCTAGATGGCCATATTTTATTATTAGGTTAAGGAGTATTTAAGGAGGTCTTGTGAACTATTATTCATTATCGAGAATAAAGATTTGGTTTGAGCCTAAGGGACCTATAACATTATAACTCGAGAACTAATTGAGGAGGAGGACCTATATGTCTCAAATCACAAACATAACATCACTGGTAAGGGACAAAAATGTTACTCATAAAGATGTAGTGCACAAAAAGGTGATTATGTAATTTTTATTGACTATACTTCTGTCCAAAGTTTACATCGTAGCGACCACATGTAGTCACTATGATGTAATGTTGAATACAATAATAGTCACTAAAAAATACTCCGTAACTAACAAAGAGGTGATTAGAGAATGTAAAAAAGCATTGACAGTGTGAGGGTTGTTTAGAAGAAATCCAAACAAGTGCGTGTAAAAGAAATGTTACCAAAGACATTGTAAGCATTACTTAAAGTATAAAGCAACAACTGAAATAAAAAAGGTGTAGACTTGTGCCATATGGTTACTTGCATGATGAAATCAGAATATTTTTTCCGCTTCAGATTGATATAAGACCTTAATGTCATTACGTGTACCCCTGGGATTGGTTGGGAAATATTTATTCCAAAACCTACCTCTGTAGGAAGCTTCTTGTTCAATTTTGGGGATAGTGTCATGGCAATGCAATCCTAGGATAGTCGTAAAATCCAAAACAGAGAAAGAACTGCCCTATCTTGAATTTCAAATTACAAATTATAGGGGTTTTGGACATCTCAACCTCTAACAACTCCCTAAGAGGTAATGGATAAGTTGGCCACTACAGCTCATTTTCCTAGCATCCAAAAAGGCTCCAAAGGCAGTTCTCCTAAAAACGTGTGTTGATGAGCTGATGTGGCTATACGGGTCTTCTACTTTAGTTGATGTACCCTTTCCTATGTTGTACTCCATAACTCATAATGGACCATCTGTGGTGGACTTCCAATCCAAATGACCAATACCATCAAATTTAAGAATGTCTAAATTTGAATTCTTCACCCACTTTCTAAACCTGATGTGGCAACTTATTTGAAAATGTTAAGAGCAGCTTTGAGCTCCTGTTTTCTAGAGGTGTGATTCATCCTACTAGGGGTGGACATAAAAACCGCACCGAACCGGCCCGTAATGGTACCGAACCGAATATCGGGTATTTAAATGGTTCTATAAAATTTTATCCCGAACCGAAACCGTACCCGTTTAAAACGACTATTACTTTCTAGTAATGTAGTGCATATGACTTTTGTTGTATCATACTACATATTTGTGTAGTTTTATAACTTAATTAATATGGTTTGAATCACAGCTCATACGGTTCAACTATGAACTATATTAGAATTAATATTCAACTTAGAACTAAGAAGAAGAACATTAAATATTTGTATTCTGTTCAATAATTTAACGATATTCTTTTGATATGTTCTCGTGAATTTAATAAAGTTGATATTAT